GCCAAAGTAGCCCTACTAGTACCCCACCGCCAGCCCCTCGGGGCCGTACTAGTAGGCCAAAGTAGCCCTTCTAGTAGCCCCGCCGGGGCGGACTTTCGAGGATGTCTCGAGCGGGGGGCCTCTCCGCCGGTCGTACCAGTAGGCCAAAGTAGCCCTACTAGTACGCCCCCGCCAGCCCCCCGGGGCCTGTACTAGTACGCCAAAGTAGCCTTACTAGTAGCCACGGGGGGGCGGATTTTCGAGGAAGTCTCGAGCGGAGGCCCTCTCCGCCGATCGAACTAGTACGCCAAAGTAGCCCTACTAGTACGCCCCCGCCAGGCCCCCGGGGACCCGTACTAGTAGGGCTACTTCGTGCCTACGCCTCGCCGGAGCGGACATTCAAGGATGTCTCGAGCGGGAGCCCTCTCCGCCAGTCGTACTTGTAGACCAAAGTAGCCCTACTAGTACGCCTCCGCCAGCCCCCCGGTGCCCGTACTAGTAGGCGAAAGTAGCCCTACTAGTAGGCCCGCCGGGACGGACTTTCGAGCATGTCTCGAGCGGGGTGCCTCTCCGCCGGTCCTACTAATAACCAAAAGTAGCCCTATTAGCACGCCCCCGCCAGCCGGTCGTACTAGTAGGCCAAAGTAACCCTACTAGTACGCCCCCGGCAGCCCCCCGGGGCCCGTACTAGTAGGCTCAAGTAGCCCTACTACTAGCCCCGGCGGGGCGGACATTCGAGGATGTCTCGAGCGGTGAACCTCTCCGCCGGTCGTACTAGTAGGCCAAAGTAGCCCTACTAGTACGCCCCCGCCAACCCCGGGACCGTACTACTAGGCCAAAGTAGCTCTACTAGTAGCCCCGGCGGGGCGGACATTCGAGGATGTCTCGAGCGGAGAACCTCTCCGCCGGTCGTACTAGTAGGCCAAAGTAGCTCTACTAGTACGCCCCCGCCAGCCCTCCGGGGCCGTACTAGTAGGCCAAAGTAGCCCTACTAGTAGCCCTGCCGGGGCGGAATTTCGAGGATGTCTCGAGCGGGGCGCCTCTCCGCCGGTCGTACTGGTAGGCCAAAGTAGCCCTACTAGTACGCCCCCGCCGGCCCCCCGGAGCCGTACTAGTAGGCCAAAGCCCTACTAGTAGCCCCGGCGGGGCGGACATTCGAGGATGTCTCGAGCGGGGGGCCTCTCCGCCGGTCGTACTAGTAGGCCAAAGTAGCCCTACTTATAGTACGCCCCCCAGCCCCCCGGGCCGTACTAGTAGGCCAAGAGCCCTAACAAGTAGCCCCGCCGGGGCGACATTTCGAGGATGTCTCGAGCGGGGGAGCCGTCTCTCGCACTCCGCCGTCGTACTGGTAGGTCCAAAGTAGCCCTACTAGTTACGCCCGCCGCCGGCACCCCGGAGCCCGTACTAGTAGGCATAGCCCTACTAGTACCCCGCCGCCAGCGGGGCTGACATTCGAGGATGTCTCGAAGCGGGGAGCCTCTCCGCCGGTCGTACTAGTACGCCAAAGTAGCCCTACTAGTACGCCCCCGCCAGCCCCCCGGGGCCGTACTAGTAGGCCAAAGTAGCCCTTCTAGTAGCCCCGCCGGGGCGGACTTTCGAGGATGTCTCGAGCGGGGGGCCTCTCCGCCAGTCGTACCAGTAGGCCAAAGTAGCCCTACTAGTACGCCCCCGCCAGCCCCCCGGGGCCTGTACTAGTACGCCAAAGTAGCCCTACTAATAGCCCCGGCGGGGCGGACTTTCGAGGATGTCTCGAGCGGGGGGCCTCTCCGCCGGTCGTACTAGTAGGCCAAAGTAGCCCTACTAGTACGCCCCCGCCAGCCCCCATGGGCCGTACGAGTACACCAAAGTAGCCTTACTAGTAGCTCCGCCGGGGCAGAGTTCCGAGAATGTCTCGAGCGGAGGCCCCCTCCGCCGGTTCGTACTAGTAGGCAAAAAGAATCCCTATAGTACGCCCCCGCCAGACTCTCCTGGGCCGTCCCCGAGTACGACAGAGTAGCCATACTAGTAGCCCCGCCGGGGCGGACATTCGAGGATGTCTCGAGCGGGGGGCCTCTCCGCCGGTCGTACTAGTAGGCCAAAGTAGCCCTACTAGTACGCCCCCGCCAGGCCCCCGGGGCCCGTACTAGTAGGGCAAAGTAGCCCTACTAATAGCCCCGGCGGGGCGGACTTTCGAGGATGTCTCGAGCGGGGAGCCTCTCCGCCGGTCGTACTAGTAGGCCAAAGTAGCCCTACTAATACGCCCCCGCCAGCCCCCCGGGGCCCGTACTAGTAGGCCAAAGTAGCCCTACTAGTAGCCCCGGCGGGGCGGACTTTCGAGGATGTCTCGAGCGGGGAGCCTCTCCGCCGGTCGTACTGGTAGGCCAAAGTAGCCCTACTAGTACGCCCCCGCCAGCCCCCCGAAGCCCGTACTAGTAGGGCTACTTCGACCCTACTAGTAGCCCCGCCGGGGAGGACTTTCGAGCATGTCTCGAGCGGGAGCCCCCTCCGCCGGTCGTACTACTAGGCCAAAGTAGCTCTACTAGTACGCCCCCGCCAGCTCTCCTGGGCCGTACGAGTACGCCAGAGTAGCCCTACTAGTAGCCCCGCTGGGGCGGACTTTCGAGGATGTCTCGAGCGGGGGGCCTCTCCGCCGGTCGTACTAGTAGGCCAAAGTAGCCCTACTAGTACGCCCCCGCCAGCCCCCCGGGGCCCGTACTAGTAGGGCTACTTCGTCCCTACTAGTAGCCCCGCCGGAGGGGACTTTCGAGCATGTTTCGAGCGGGGAGCCTTCCGCCGGTCGTACTAGTAGGCCAAAGTAGCCCTACTAGTACGCCCCCGCCAGCTCTCCTGGGCCGTACGAGTACGCCAGAGTAGCCCTACTAGTGGCCACGCCGACAAGGCTCACGAAGGCCGACAATTGCGAAAACCGATGTACTAGACAAATCCGCCGACCCGTTGGGTCTCATCGGCGTGTCAGATGCTCCCCCTCTCCCCAAACCCCTCCCTGAGGGCCTCGTCTGGTCGATCAGGAGGGGAAGCGCCCGGCCAGCCGGCGTACACGCGCCATGAGACAACACAGAGCTCCACGACGAGCCAAAAAGGCCCCAAGAGGCTCCCGAGCCGGTCCAAGAAGCCCCGAGTCGCCGAAACATCGTTTCAAGACGCCCAGGATGGCCTCCAGACGGCCAAAGATGCTTCCAAGACGTGACCCTACGAATACGGCGGCGGTGCGCGGCTCGGGCGTACGAGTGGGGCTGCGCACGGCTATTAGTACGACTGCGACGTGCACGGCCGAGCGTACGAGTACGGCTACGTACCGGTACGAGTACGACTGGAGGGGGCGTACGAGTTCGGCGACGTGGGCCTACTAGTACGGCAGCAGAATGCAAGGACGGCCGCACTAGTACAGCTACGTACGCCTACTAATACGGCGGCGGTGTGCCAGGTCGGGCGTACGAGTACGGCTACGTACGGCTACGGGGACGACTGCGACGTGCCCGGCCGAGCGTACGAGTAGGGCCACGTACGCGTACTAGTACGACCGGAGCGGGCGTACTAGTACGGCTACGTAGCCCTACTAGTACGCCTGCGGCGTGCACGGCCGAGCGTACGAGTACGGCTACGCACGGCTACTAGTACGCCTGTGGCGTGCACGGCCGAGCGCACGAGTACGGCTACGTAGGCCTACTAGTACGCCTGCGGCGTGCACGGCCGAGCGTACGAGTACGGCTACGTATGGCTACTAGTACGCCTGCGGCATGCACGGCCGAGCGTACGAGTACGGCTACGCACGGGTACTAGTACGCCTGCGGCGTGCACGGCCGAGCGTACGAGTACGGCTACGTACGGGTACTAGTACGCCTGCCGCATGCACGGCCGAGCGTACGAGTACGGCTACGTACGGCTACTAGTACGCCTGCGGCATGCACGGCCGAGCGTACGAGTACGGCTACGCACGGCTACTAGTACGCCCCGCGGTCGTACTAGTAGGACGAAGTAGGCCTACTAGTACGACGACCGGGCAAAGCAAGCCTATTCTGCGAAACGCGCAAGGTCCCCCATATACACCTGGCGCGAAACGCGCAGAACCCCGCGCTCAGGGATTTCGCAGGGGGGGCAAACCGAAAGACCTGGCACGTTCCGCGCAGAACCCCGCGCTCCGAGATTTCAGGGGGCCTGTCCGAAAGACTTGGCCCGCTCCGCGCAAGACACCGCGCTCCAGGATTTCGGAGGGCGAAACGGACAGACCTGGCGCGTTCCGCGCAAGGCGCGTTCCGTGCGAGAGCCCGCGCTCTAAGGGGTGTGGCGCTACACCCCTGGGAGCGCGGGGTCTTGCGAGGAACACGCGGGTCTTCCGGGGGCGAGGCTGGAAGATTTGATGACGTCCCCCAGGGGGGATGGGATCGTTGGGTTTCGCGCGGAACGCACCAGGTGTTTGAACACCTTGCGTGGCGGTAGACCCTGTGCACGGCGCTAGTTCGCAAGTATAACAACGTTTGCGAAGATAATGTGCGCCAGAGTAGGCCCGAAACCAGGACTCACTGCACTGTGGATAATTATGCAAGCTATGTGGCGCAACTCCCTCAGTGCAAGCGTTGTGGCGCAATCTACATGGTGCTTGGTATGTAATGCTAGCTGCGCGGCGCAGCATATGCGGCGCAAACTATGCAGTGCAAACTTTGTGGTGCATGCTGCGTGGTGTAGCCTATGTGGTGTAAGCTACGGGGTGAACTCGACGTGGTGTAAAGTACGCAGCGCGATCCATGTGGTTTCATTTCAGTGGGTTACGCTATGGGGTGCTACCTTAAGACGAAGCCAGGATGAGGACACATTCGGATCAGGATAAATTGATAATCTCTGAGATCCGGCGGCTCTGGAGGATGCCTCGGGCGCCGCGGCCTTTCAGAGCGCTCTGGAACGTTTGGAAAGAATTCATCCTTGTCCTAGCCCCGCCCGATATCTATCTCTGTGGCGCAAGACATGCGACATGTGATGCAAGCTATGTGGTCTATGTGGTGTTAGGTATGTGCTTGTATTCATGTGGTGAAATATATGTTGCACAAGCTACGCTGTGCGAGTGGTATGTGGCTGGCGCAAGCTGCGCGGTGCAACCCATGCAGTGCAAGCAACGTGGCGCCGACACCGGCGTGTGTGTGGCGGAATTCCGTTTTCGGGAGTTTCGCACGTTGGCCCGGGCAGTGATTGTCACGGGTATAGCTCACTCACCACGCCAGCCGCGACCGCGCAGCCCGCAGCCCAGAACCGTGGATGCCGATCCGCGTGGATGGGGATCGGTGGTCGCGCTCGATTCTCCTCGAAGAAGCCGTGTGTGGTGACAGCTGTGCCGTGCAGGCTGCGCGCTGCCGCTGTGCGCCCGACCTCTGGGCGCCCCGCGCACCGGCCGCCCACGGGGCGCCCGCAGCCAGCTCGGGAGGCGACCACGGGCCGCCCGTCCCGAGGCGGCCGCGGGAGGGCACGCAGGGGGAAGCCCCGGCAGGTGCACCCCGCGCGCGAGGCGCCCGCGGTCGAGCAGTGGCGAGTCGTCCCGGTCCAGCTTGCCTCTCGTCAGGGGCAGCGATGAGGGGGGGGGAGAGGCATGTGGGGGGATACGTTGACCCCCAGTCGCACATTGATCGCCGATGGGGGTCTGATAGCCCACACCCGCCCAGGAAGGTGCGGATTCACTAACGGGGGCCTATCGCCGATCGATCGGCGATGTATCGCCGATTCCAGGTCGATGCATCCCCCCTATGCACGTCCCCACCTGTCGTTGCCCCCCATACGGGCCTACCAAGTAATGTTCTAAGAACCTGTCGTGGTCTGCACGAGATGTCCTGACAGCATCTCTGGCTGGGGCCGTCTTGTTTGAACGCATCGGTTTCATGTTCTAAGAAGTTTGCTTGTCGGTTCTAAGAACATGTCGTGGTAGACCTATAGGAATGCCGGGACGGTCGGTCCCTGCTCAACACGGGCGGGCACCAGGCACGGAGCGCCCACGGGCGACAACCATCCAACCAGGCATCAGGCGAAGCCCTTGCACAAGCATCCAAATGCTGAGTTGAAAAATACGAATATGTAATGTGTAAATGCAACTGTTGTCTTGGAAACAGAAAACCCAGCGCAGTGAACCCTCATGCCAGGGAGGGCACATAAGGACTTGGAGTGGGCAGGGAGGGGCGAGGGAGGAGGAGGAGGAGGAGGAGGACGACCACGACGACGGGAAGTGGAGGGGCAGCGCCAGGTGTCAGCACGCCCACTGCATCAGTTTGTTCCTCCTCCTTTTTTATGAATCATAATTCACCTTGTCGTCTGCATCATCAACCGATTCGTGCAAATTGCCAATGCAAAAGATTATCTTGTTGTTGATGGTCGTGGTGATACAAATCGCCATGTGTCCCATACGCCTTCGAGCAACGTCGGCATGATCATATGCGTTTTTGTTCATCATCACCACCTTCCCCGCCCTGCGCTCTTACACTCCAGCCATAACGCAGCATCGTAACCACATGGCGGTCACGGCCCCGTGGGCTTTACCATGGTGGCGCGCGTTGAGCAGCAGCAGTTGTTCGATGATGGCGTGCACAATTCACCAGCCAGTTCAACATGAACACGCCTGTGACATCCACATGGGCCCGACACGACATGAACATGTAGTAACATCAATACTCCTGATCATATACGAATTAGATAACTTGAGGGCGTTATATCGAGTTGCCGACTTAAGTATGCGAGCACTCCATCACTAATTGTATCAAGACCTACTCGTGTATCTGAGCGTAAGTGTTATGCTTACAGATATCCTAAGCGGTCGTTAAAAGTTCAGCCAGGGAAGACAAACATCCACGTCAACAGGCCCTACTTGTTTATGTTGTACTCATGTGCCACATCATCTTGTCCACCCTAGCCAGCCACTTCAGGGTCGGCGCACCTGGTTTCTGCGCAGGCTTGCTTCTCATGCACATGCGGCACTGGGGCCTGCCTTTTGCGGGGCGCGGCGTCCAGTATGGATTCCCAGAGCTTCGAGCAACCCCAGGCCGTCGATTTGGCATGCCCAGTGCACTCGTAGCTGACTACTCATGCCCCATTTGCTGGGATGAATGGCTTTTGCCCTGGGGGGCGCCCGTAGCTGAGCAGCTGTGTTGCTGCAGGTTTCTTTGCACTCATGTGCCACATTATTAATCGTTTCGCTCATGCCGCCGGCCCTGGAGCCCTCTTTAGGGCCTCTTGGGGACCTCTTGGGAGTCTCTTGGGGCTCCTTGGCGGCGTTTTGGAGGCCCCCAGGGCCTCTTGGGGGGCTCTTGGGGGTAGTCGATTGCGGCTCCCCCCATCGGAGGCCACGATCCTCGTGAGGGGTGTCGAAAAATGGCCCTCCCCTGGAGTGCTCTGGGGGCTTCTCCCGGGCTTCTCTCGGGACCTTGCCGGGGTACTTTTCGTCCGGGGGCCCCCAGGGGCCGCTCCGCGCGCGCGAACTAGAAATAAAGTTACCGGAGATCTTAGCACGCCTCTGGCCCGTTGGGCCGGCGAATTTTGTCCACCCTAGCCAGCCATTGCAGGGTCGGCGCACCTGTTTTTTTACCCAGGCTTGCTTTGGCATGCACGTGCGGTCCTGGGGCATGCCAGAAGGCGGGGCGTCCAGTAGTGATTCCCGGGCAACCCCGAGGCCCAGTGCACTCGTAGCTGACCCCCCAGGCGCCATTGGCTGAGACGCCTGGCTTTTGACCCGGGGGGGGGGCGCCCATAGCTCAGCACTTCTGTTGCTTCAGCTTTTACACTCGTGTGCTACATCATCTTATCCACCCGTGCCACCATTTCTCGGGGGCGGAAAAAAGGGGGGTTGATGACTAGGGGGGGCTGGATACCATGGCGGGGGCCATGATATTTCCCCAGATTTCATGGCGCCCCTTCTTATTTCATTACGTCCTGCCCCCCCGCTGGGCCGCGCACATGCGCCGGTCATGATTTGAAACAGCTGATTTGCAAGACCCCCCCTATCGGAACACCCCCCTCGTGGCGCTCCCGAATTTTCACGGCGGTATACTTGTTTTATCACAAGGCCCGCTTCGGCATTGCGCCGCGCGGGGCAGCGGCTGGAGTTTTTTCTCTACAGTCTGCCGCCCATCGCTCTCCCATCTCCTCCTCCGACGCGTTCGCCGGAGAGTGCCTTCCAGCCTGGGCCCACCACTACCCTCGTAAAATAACCTCAAACAGTTTGATGGCACGTCATTTCGATTTCGGCGCGCCCCTCAATGTCGACACGCCGCCCCTTCAATGTCGGGGCGAGGGCAAAGATAGTCTGACCGAAGTTGACTCGAAAGATTGACGTCGACCGACATTGGAGGGGCGGCGCATGCAAGTACCCCGCACTCATCGATACTCGGCCCCAGATCTTCCGACAAGCAGTTCAACCACGTCATACATTTTTGACATCAATTGTGACGAGGTTGCTGTCGAGGCGCGAGGTGCCTGGGATGAGGAAGCGGTGACCTCGATGCGACGCCCGACACACCTGCCTGCCCAACGCGTCGGGACTCTGATCGCCCCCGGCCGCCGGTCCACGCACGTTCCTTTGCTTGGCAGATTCTGCATGCAGGCGAAAGGGTCACAAGTCAGGGGGGGGCTTACGCTGTCCAAGGACTTCACCACCAGCCCTGGGGGGTCTGGGAGCAGGTTTGGGGTTTGTTTGGGTTCTGTCGGCCTCAAGAGGCCTCCAAGATTGTTCAGGACGACGTCCAGGGGCCGCCAAGACGGCCTAAGATGGCCCAGGATGCTCTAAGATGAGTCCAGGACGGCCCCAAGAGACCACACGATGCCTCAAGGGAGGCTCGAAGATGTCCCAAGAGAGGCCCCAGACAGTTAAAATCATCCAACAAGTATTTCAGAGGGTCATGATGGGGGCCGAAGTAAATTATTAAAAAGTTCGCCAAGACGGGCCAATGACGCTCCAATTGTGCCACAAGATGGCCCAAGAGAGCTTCGGAGCTGCCGAATATTGCCTAAGAGAGCCCCAAACTATAGACCCAAGACGCGTGAAGACGGCCCAAGCGGTCCCAAGAAGCTCCCGAGAAGCCCCCAGAAGCTTCTCCAACAATTCCCACCATTCAAACGGTGCATAGTTGGCCCCGCGCACAGCTTCTGGACTGTCCAAGGAAGAACGCTCGCAAGGAAGACCGAACAGTCCATCACGTTCCAAGACATCCCTAGCCCATTAGGATCCAATGTGCTTTCAATGTGGCCTAAGAAGCCGCTGGAGTGCCCTCGGAGGACTCCGAAATGGTGCCATACGGCCCCACAAAAGCTCCAGGGGGGCCGCCCAACGATGGGCCCAATGCGGATCCACAGGGCCCCAATACCGATCCAGGAGGGAGAGTGGGAAGAAGAGGAGGGAGTGTGAAGGTATGGGGCTGGGTGGGATGGAGGGCGAGAGGAGAAAGGCACGCAGTGAGGTGGGAGCAAGGAGGAGGACCAGGAGATGGAGCAGAAGGCGGTGAGGAGGTCGAGGGCAGTGAAACGGGGGAAGGAACAGACAACGAAAGAGGCGAGACACAAGTACGGCACAAAGACACAAACGAGCTCCACGAGGGCCCACGAGGGCTCCGAAAGAGCTCCCAAACTGCAATGGTTTCCTCCTGCATCTCCTCCTCCTCCTCCTCCTCCTCTTCCTCCTCCTCCTCCTCCTCCTCCTCCTCCTGCATCTCCTCCTCCTCCTCCTCCTCCTCCTCCCCCCTCCTCCTCCATATCTCCGCCTCCTCCTCCTCTCCTCCTCCTCCTCCTCCTCCTCCTCCTCCTCCTCCTGCATCTCCTCCTGCATCTCCTCCTCCTCCTCCTCCTCCTCCTCCTCCTCCTCCTCCTGCATCTCCTCCTCCTCCTCCCCCAGCGTGCTCGGCAGCAGGGGCTGCGGCCCGAGGCGCCCCCAGAGCCGCGGGCACGGCGCCCTCCCTCGCGGGCCGCAGGCGCCGGCGGCGGAGGAGGCGACGCCCGCCCCCCGCGCGCGTCCGCGGCGGCGCGGGCGGAGGCGCGGCCTCGCGCGCCAGCAGCCGAGGCGTCCGCATCAACGCCGGCGCCCAGGCCTTGGCCCCCGACGCCGACCCCGAGGAGGCCAGGCTGGCCCAGCTGGTGGAGCTCCACCTGTCGGGCGACGGGCCCGGAGAGGCCAAGTGCAGGCGCCAGCTGGAGGAGCTCCGCGCCAAGCGCTTGGCCGAGCCATTGTCGGTCGCCGAGGCGTTGGGTGCACACCCACTGCGGCCCGGAGGCCAGCTCAGGGTGCCTTTGTGCCACGACGTCCGAGAAGTGTTGCTCAGAAGCTTATGGAAACGCCGTGCGCGTGCACGTGGCGGCACAACCCTGTGCATTGTTAGTTGGTGAAGCCGACCATCAGCAGAGCAAGATGTTATTTGTAAGGGTTTCGCCCCCTGCTGCCGGCCCCCTCTCTATCATAATGGAACATCTGAGAGTTGCGTCGGTGTGTCTCGGCGCTGCCTTGGCGCGTCTGGGAACATCATGCGGGGGCGGATAGGAATCATCAGCGCATATTGAGACGATGGCGTTATCGAAGACGCCTACGGCGAATCACGTCCGCCCCCTGCCTTTTTGGAAGCGCCTGCGTTGCCGAAAGTTGGGTTTGAGCTTGGCCAAGCTATCGGGCCACGCGTTCCCCGAATGGGTTTCGAAAGCTTTCTGGGAACACGGAGTCGGGCGAGCTATCGGACCAGGTGGTTTCCGAGCTTTCGAGCCTCCTGGAGGACGTCTTGGAGGGCTCTTGGGCCGTCTTGGAGGCCTCTGGCGGGCCTTTTGGCCATCTTCAGGCCATCTGGGGCCGTCTTGGGTGCATCTTGGGGCCATCTTCGCCGTCTTGGAGACCTCGTGGGCCGTCTTGCAGGCATCTTGGAGGCCATCTTGGCCGTCTTGGAGGCCATCTTGGACGTCTTGGGGGCCATCTTGCGCCGTCGTGGGGGCTTGTTGGGGCCCTCTTGGGGGCCCCTTGGGCTGTCATGGGGCCTTCTTGGAGGCCTCTTGGGTGCTCTTGAGGCGATGTTGGGGGCCTCTTGGGCCGTCTTGGGCCGTCGGAGAGCTGATAAGAAGAAATGCCAAAATGCTTCAAAAACCTACGGAAAATCAATGATTGTGGCACTTTCGGGCCTTCCTGGAGGACGTCTTGGAGGTCTCTTTGGGGCCTCTTGGGCAGTCTTAGGCAATCTTGGAGCCATCTTGGGCCGTCTTGGAGGCTTCTCGGACAAACTTGAAGGCATTGTGAGCATTGGGGTTTCCTGGAGAACGTCTTGGAGGGTTCTTGGGCCGTCTTGGAGGCCTCTTGCGGGCCTTTTGGGCAGTCTAAGGCCATCTTGAGGCCATCTGGAGCCGTCTTGGTGCATCGTGGGGCCATCTTCGCTGTCTTGGAGGCCGTCTTGGCCGTCTTGGAGGCATCTTGGAAGCCATCTGGGCCGTCTTGGAGGCCATCTTCGGCGTCTTCGGGGCCATGGTTTGGCCGTCTTTGGCTCCTCTCGGGGCCCTCTTGGGGGCCTCTTGGGCTGTCATTGGGCCATTTTGGAGGCCTCTTGGGCGCTCTTGGGACGATGTTGGGGGCCTCTTGGGCCGTCTTGGGCCGTCGAGGTGCTGATAAGAAGAAAATGCAAAAGTCTTCTAATACCCAAGGAATGTTGACCTTTCTGGGCATTCCTTGTGGACGTTTTGGGCGGTTGGAACACCAAAACGGAGGAAAAGCCAACATCCTTCAAAAACCTAAAAAACACTCACACACACAATGATTTGGGCTGCCTGGGGCCTTCCTGGATAACCTCTTGGATTCCTCTGGGGCCATCTGGGAAGCTTCTCGGGCACATCTGGGGCCATCTTGGCCGTCTTAGCGGGCATCTTGGCCGTCTTGGAGGTCATACTGTCTGTCTTAGGAGGCCATCTTGGGCGTCTTGGAGGCCCCTTGGGCTGTCTTGGGGCCCTCTTGGGACCGTCTTGGAGGCCTCGTGGGCCGTCGGACGGCTGGAAAATAGCAAAAGCCCAAATCCTTCCAAAACCAATGGAAACCATTAATGTTGGCCTCTTCGGGTCCTCGTGGAGGACCTTGTGGAGGCCTCTTGGGCCGTCTTGGAGGCCTCTTGGAGGCAGGAAAAACCTTTGCAACCACCTCTGGAAGAGTTTTTCGGGACCCCGGCGGGAAGGGCCGGAGCCCCAGGGGGTTTTCTAAAAGAACCAAAAACTAAGAATTCAGCACGCCGGGCACCCCTGTGATGAATCAACAGGGGGCGGCGGATCGAAGACGCCTACTGCGAATCACCGCCGCCCCCTGCCTTTTTGGAAGCGCCTGCGTGGCCGAAAGTTTTGGTTTGAGCTTGGCCAAGCTATCGGGCCACGCGTTCTCCGAGTGGGTTTCGAAAGCCTTCGGGGAACACGGAGTCGGGCGAGCTATCGGACCATGTGGTTTCCGAGCTTTCGAGCCTCCTGGAGGACGTCTTGGAGGGCTCTTGGGCCGTCTTGGAGGCCTCTGGCGGGCCTTTTGGCCATCTTCAGGCCATCTGGGGCCGTCTTGGGTGCATCTTGGGGCCATCTTCGCCGTCTTGGAGACCTCGTGGGCCGTCTTGCAGGCATCTTGGAGGCCATCTTGGCCGTCTTGGAGGCCATCTTGGACGTCTTGGGGGCCATCTTGCGCCGTCGTGGGGGCTTGTTGGGGCCCTCTTGGGGGCCCCTTGGGCTGTCATGGGGCCTTCTTGGAGGCCTCTTGGGTGCTCTTGAGGCGATGTTGGGGGCCTCTTGGGCCGTCTTGGGCCGTCGGAGAGCTGATAAGAAGAAATGCCAAAATGCTTCAAAAACCTACGGAAAATCAATGATTGTGGCACTTTCGGGCCTTCCTGGAGGACGTCTTGGAGGTCTCTTTGGGGCCTCTTGGGCAGTCTTAGGCAATCTTGGAGCCATCTTGGGCCGTCTTGGAGGCTTCTCGGACAAACTTGAAGGCATTGTGAGCTCTTTCGGGCCGTCTTGGAGGCCATCTTGGACCATCTTGGGCGAACTTCGAGGCCATCTTGGGTCATCTTGGAGGCAATCTGGGAGCCGTCTGGAGCAGGAAAAACCTTTGCAACCACCTTTTGGGAGCCTTTCGGGTGGCCGGCTGGACGGGCCGAAGCCCCATGGGGAGTTCCTTTGGAAAAGAACCAAAACCAAAATCAAAAGGATCTAGCACGCCGGGCACCACTGTGGCAAGCCAACAGGGGGCGGCGGATCGAAGATGCCTACTGCGAATCACCGCCGCCCCCTGTTTTTTTGGAAGCGCCTGCGTGGCCGAACGTTGTGGCCAGAGGCCTGCCAAGCTATCGGACCATGTGTTCCCCGAATCGTTTTGGAAAGCCTTCGGGGAACACGCGGAGGAGAATACACATGAAGAGAGAGAGAGAGAGGGAGGAAGAGGGAGAGTAGGAGGAGGAGGCTTCTTGGGAGCCCCTGAGGCCACTCTTCGGGCTTGATGGGAGCTTCCTCAAGGCTGCTGGGAGGCCTCGTCGGGACCTCCTTGGGCCTGCTGAGCGCCTTCGGGGCTGCTGGGGGACTTCTCGGGGGGCTCTAATGGCGCTCCTGGCCCGTCTGACGCCGTCGGGAGCCGTCTTGGGGGCCTCTCTGAACCGACTTGGGGACCTCTTGGGGCGCTTCGGGGCCGTTTTGGAAGCGCTTATGTGGCCGACAGCTGGGTTAGAATTTGCGAGGGTATCGAGCCAGTTGTTCCCCGAGTCGGTTTGGAAAGCCTTCGGGGAACGGAGGAGGAGGATCAGGAGAGGGATGAGGATGATGATTAGGATGAGGATGAGGAGGAGGATGAGGATGGGGATGATGGGAGGAGGAGGAGGAGGAGGAAGAGGAGGAGGAGGAAGAGGAGGACGAGGAGGAAGAGGAGGAGGAGGAGGGCGAGGAGGAGGAGGAGGATGAGGCTGGAAGAGGAGGAGTAGGAGGAGACCTCTTGGGAACCTCTTGGGAGGCCTCTTGGGAGGCCTCTGCGGAGCTTCTCGGGAGCCTCGTGGAGGCCTCTCGGGAGCCTCCTTGAGCCTCTCGGGGGCCTCTTGGGGGCCTTCAAGGGCTTCTTGCGGGCCTCTTTCGTCGTCTTAGGGCGTTCCTGACCCGTCTAACGCCGTCGGAAGTCGTCTTAGGGGCCTCTCTGAACCGACTTGGGGCCCTCTTGGGGACCTTCAGTGCCGTCTTCGAGGCCATCGAGGGCGTCTTGGGGGCATCTTGGGCCGTCTTGGGGCCCTCTTGGGGCCGTATTGGGGGCCTCTTGGGCCGTCACGGGGCCATCTTGGAGGCCTCTTGGGCGATCTTGGGGCATCCTTGGGGGCCTCTTGGCCCGTCTTGGGCCGTCGGAAGGCCGAACATGCGCAAATGCCAACATGCTTCAAAAACCCATGGAACCTCAATGATTGTGGCCCCTTGGCCTTCCTCGAGGACCTCTTGGAGGCCTCTTGGGCCTTCTTGGAGGCCTCTGGGGGGCCTCTTGGGCCATCTTGAGGCCATCTAAGGCCGTCTTGGGTGCATATTGGGCCGTCTTGGAGGCATGATGGGGCCATCTTAGCCGTCTTGGATGCCATCTTGGCCGTCTTCGAGACATTTTGGAGGCCATCTTCGGCCATCTTGGCCGGCTTCGAGGCCATCGAGGGTGTCTTGGGGGCCTCTTGGGCCGTCTTGGCGCCCTCTTGGGGCCGTCTTGGGGGCGTCTTGGGCCGTCATGGGGCCATCTTGGAGGCCTCTTGGGCGATTTTGGGGCGACCTTGGGGGCCTCTTGGCCCGTCTTGGGCCGTCGGAAAACCGAAAAGGCGCAAATGCCAAAATGATTCAAAAACCTATGGAACATCAATGATTGTGGCCCATTCGGGCCTTCCTCGAGGACCTCTTGGAGGCCTCTTGGGCCGTCTTGGAGGCCTCTGGGGGGCCTCTTGGGTCCATCTAAGGCCGTCCTGGGTGCATCTTAGGCCGTCTTGGAGGCATCTTGGGGCCATCTTAGCCGTCTTGGAGGCCATCTTTGCCGTCTTGGAGGCATCTTGGAGGCCATCTTCGGCCGTCTTGGCCGTCTTCGAGGCCATCGAGGGCGTCTTGGGGGCCTCTTGGGCCGTCTTGGGGCCCTTTGGGGGCCGTCTTGGGGGCCTCTTGGGCCGTCATGGGGCCATCTTGGAGGCCTCTTGGGCGATCTTGGGGCGACCTTGGGGGCCTCTTGGCCCGTCTTGGGCCGTCGGAAAGCCAAAAAGGCGCAAATGCCAAAATGCTTCAAAAACCCATGGAACCTCAATGATTGTGGCCCCTTCGGGCCTTCCTCGAGGACCTCTTGGAGGCCTCTTGGGCCTTCTTGGAGGCCTCTGGGGGGCCTCTTGGGCCCATCCAAGGCCGTCTTGGGTGCATCTTAGGCCGTCTTGGAGGCATCTTGGGGCCATCTCAGCCGTCTTGGAGGCCATCTTTGCCGTCTTGGAGGCATCTTGGAGGCCATCTTCGGCCGTCTTGGCCGTCTTCGAGGCCATCGAGGGCGTCTTGGGGGCCTCTTGGGCCCT